TAAATGAGGTGTTTTCATTGTTTCAGTCAATGATTCACTATAGTGACTAGGCCTATACAAGCTATGATGTCTTTTGACATACAAATATACACAATTAAAAAAAAAAATATCAGTATCATTGTGTTGAAAACAAAGAAGCCCCACTTCAGATCTATGGTTGTAATTTTCTAGAATTTCTAAATTAATGAAAAAAATATTCATTTTTTGTTTAGAATACATGTACATAAAAATATTTATATAATACTTTTATCATTGTAGCTGTCAAGAGTATCAGGCTTAAAGATTGAATAAATAAAAAATGAATCATTTCTCCACAGGGTATGTATACTTCTAAAGCATTTCACATTTTTAATGTTTGCATGTGCTTTACATTTTTTTTTTCATTTTGGTAAAGGAGAAGCTCAGAATTTTTTTTAGAAAATATTTTATCAATAACAATTGTAAATTTCAAAAGTTTCACTTTCCCAGAGAAGTTTTGTAACATTTTTTTTTTTCCATTTATATGAATAACATAAATTCACTACAGTATTTAATGTAGCATATTTTTTTTGTAAAATGTAATGCTTTTTTATTCTACAATGTATATTTAGCAATGTCATAGCATATAACTGCATATTATAATGTGTTGTAGGCATAGCTATTCCCATGGACTAATGGATTCATTCAGGCAAGAAGTTAATCCATCATTTAAGGAAAATGGTATGCTCAATATTAGCTATAAACCATACAAAGTTTTGATAATAAAACTAACAGAAGAATTGAAATCTTTGTTAAATGTTTCAATGCATTTTTTTATTTCATTTTTAAAACACAAATTACTTTCAATAATGGAATTTCCTGATTTTCTCAAATTTTCAAAATTCATTTTTTCCACAAGAACATGAAGTAATGGTAATTTGCACCTGCCCAGCATTCCTACAGTCTATCATTGGATTTGAAAAGAAATGTTTATTTAATAATTTTTTTAGATAAATAATAATTTTACTTTTTCATACATTTACTGTACAGGTGTTGACAAGGCCATTAAGAATTGAAAATCTTAACTTGCATACTATTTTGTGTGGAGGGTACTAATGTCCATGAAGATCTCATTTCCAGCATGTACATTGTGTTCATTTATTTTTCAATAAAAAAAACAAACAAGAGACTAGCTATCCCCATAATTGATTCAAAATAGGATAGGGGACCACCATTTGATTCTGAGGGAAGTAGGGGGGGGGGGGGGGGGGGGGGGGGGGGGAGGCGAGTTTTTTCCAAATCAGATTTTTTTTCATTTTCATGTCAATGAAGGACAGATTAATTTTTATTTCCGATTAATAAGATGAAGGACAGATTATTTATTTATTTTCCCCTTCACTGAAAAGTCTAACATGCAAAAATAAAAATGTTAAAAACTCTGATTCGTGGGGAGGGAGATCACTGATCTGAAAGTATTTATTTCTAAAATCTGCCAGCCCCTCCCCCTCAGAATAAAATGGTTGTCCCCTTAACAAATACAGGAGTGTCCCAATCCTTTCTAATTAGTTCCTCAAACTTATAACTTAGTTTATATCCCTTAATTAACGGTAAGCGGTCTGATTGACACAGTAAGCGGTCTGATTGAAAGCGATCATAGAGCATGATCTCATAATCATGCAAAAAAAAATATTATCACAAGTGTGTGTACCATGGGCGTCGGAAGAAAAATGAAAGGGGGGCTAATTGAAAGGGGGAGGGGGCTTAACCAAAAGAAAAAGGTAAATTCCATTGCCTACATTACGTATATAATTTGCAAATAAGTAGGGAGGCTAAGCCCCAGCCCCCCTCCTCGGTTCCGACGCCTATGCGTACAGTAGTGAGAGAGGGGAATAGATATCTAATTAATTATTAATGAAAGCAAAAATATTTTAATTAACCGTTTGTGTTCTACCTAAATATATCTCCAGTATTTAGACCTGTTTGTGTGTAATACTACATGTATACGTATATATAACACATCTTTGAGGAAATGCGGGTGGTTTGAAAGACATTAAATGTATACAATATATGGAGAACGAATATACAGAAAAGAAAGAAATGTCAAGGATTTTTATGCATACCGTTTGATTAAGTAAAAGAAAAGAGTCCAACCCTGATCGCATGTATATTCATTTAAAACTTACGAGGTAAACAAACTAAATCAAGTACTCAAGAGTTATCTCCCATGCTGGGTCAATGATGCGTTTGAAAACTAAAATTAGATTGACTCTTCCAAAATTTCAATTTTTTTCTCAAAAAGTGCAAGGGCAAGGCAACAATCTAAAAAGTAGGTTTTTATTTCAAATTATTTATTTTATTGTAAAGTTTTCAAAAAGTGATGCTCATTTCTTTGTAATCCTTTAGTTAATTTATAATTCGCGATGAAATTAGGAAAATATCCTAGTTTTCATACATTACTGTCTGTTTTAGCTGAATAGCTTAATTATATCGGAAAACTAACTGAATGAGCATCACTTTTGAGAAAGTATAGATACATAGAGACAACATAAAACATTTTGCAGTTTATTTCTTGGTTGCCTTGCCCTTGCACTTTTTGGTTAAATTTGACATTTAATTTTTTGACCTAAATTCGGAGCCCACGTTACTTCAGGGGGTCACATGATGTCCAAAAATACCGATGTGAAAAGCGATGGACATACTCTTCAAGATAAGAAATAGATATTCTAACTAAAATGTCTTTCTTAAAAATAAAACTGTTAAACATTATATGTATCGGATTCTGTTAGTTTTTATAGAAAATGTTGCCTTAACTGTACTGCGTACCTTTGATCCATTTTGATATGTATTACTTCTTTTAAAAAATGTAACAAAGCAACTGAATACTTGTAGAAAATGTAATATTATAATAGCTATCAATAAGGGATAGGACCGGGCCGTAGTTATTGCTAGTTTTATCGCATGCATCAGCTGTTTGTCAAGTGACTTGTGTAAAAATAGAATTGTTAAACTGAATGTTGGAAATATGGATAGTGCAAGGGCATGCTTTTTTTTAAAGAAAAAGATTGATACACATTAAAAGTTGTTTACTTCCTCTACCAAAAAAGTGCTTGGAGCTTGTCTATGCGGTTTGCCAAGTACTGAAAATTTTGTCGAATTTTTTTATAATAGCTGAGATTTCCACTTCGTTTAAATTCTGTTATAAATAAAAATAATGTTTTGCAGACCAGGATCAGTTCCCAGCACTTTTCAAAATGTACACTTTATAACCAATAAATATTCCAAATTTCAAAAAAGTCTATGCCATTGCACTATTGATGTAAATCACGAATACGCTTATCGTTTTAGCAATATTCTCTACAGTCCTTTCCCTGTGCAGCTCCAATGCTACTAGATAAACTCATATTCTAAACAAATTGTATTTAATAAATTATTTTCTTTTAGATTTAATAATTAGGTTATAAATTAGCGATGATATCATATTTATTTAAGCATTCTTGTAGTTATGCAACCAGTGAATCTTATCCTCTGGGTTACCTGTGCTGTGTCATGTCAAGGCTAATGACGTCATATTTCACGAAAGACTTTCTTCTATTTCTCGACTGTATTGCTATCAAGTATTGAAATTTTACGAGCTTTTATAAATAATTGGTAAAATAAATAGATTGAAGTTTTTATTTACGCATGGTCATGTCGTTAATAATTTAACGGCTTGTTAAATTTCAATGACGTAACAATTAAACTTCCAATACGGTGTACAAGGAATGTGAACTCTGACCTTCCTTAACATAGCTGAGAAGTTTCTACACATACGTGAGTAACAGAATAGAAAGGATATTACGTTTTTTAGGACAGAACAATGGAATTATATTCACTCAGAGCAAAACCAAGCAGATGTAGGGACTGGAGGAGTTCTAGCAAAGAATCTGAAAGACTGTCAATGGTGGAAACCTCCCTTTCAAGTTTCTTGTCACCAGCAGAACAGAGATGAAAGCTTTCAAATGGTTAAAACAGATGATGACGTGATAGTCAGACCTTTTAAAACAGCAAGGAAAGTTGAAGAAACAGAATGTTCTTCCTATGGCCCATCCTCTTAGAAGAAAAGGTTCTGTAAGTTTTCATCGTGGGAAAGGCTTGTACTTGATATGAAGAGGCTTAGAGAGGCGACACGGAAGACGACATTTCGTACAAATCACACAACTGAAAAAGAATTTAGTGCTACAGAACCGCTGATTCTAAAGAGGTCCAGAAAACTGTCTGTGGGAAAGAGATCAAGAGTTTGATTATTGGTAAAGAAGTAGCTAATGACAGTTCATTGTTTTCACTTACCCATATATTGATGAAGAAGAAGTACTTACATGTCTAGTAGGCGGATGGCTACAGAAAACTACCTTGGAAGGAACATAAAACATCAAATCATTGTTTCTAAGAGCTCACATGTTGCAACATTGCTAGTTAGGCATCATTATGAAAAGGTACATATCAGGGGCGGTGTAACTTTGAATATTGACCCGAGTTGAAAATTGAACCGGGTTTCGTTTTCCAACGTAGAATACTCAACCGGGGATATTTTTCCCCGTTGAAAATTGAGACCAAAGGTCGTTGAATTTATACCCGGGGTCATTTTTCAACAGTTTGAAATTTATTTTTATCCCTGATGATCTCAACAAGTTGAAAATTGACCCTGTTGAATATTGATCCTTCCTCAGAGTTTGAACATTTTTATTTTAACTGGGAAGTTCTTTTACGCGATTTATTAGTATCTCAATATTTTTTTTTCGGTTTCAAATTTTCCCTTTTCAAGAGTAATAGAAATAAATCTATGATCCTGAGTAAATATGCATATTTTGATCAGTACACAATAACAGTTATCTTCAAGCATGACAAATTTATTTGACTATAATTCTAAAATCCATAGCATCAATAAATAACTACAAAGCTATGAATAGGGCATAAAAACAAAAAAATCTTGCAAATCTGGTGTCTAGTATGTGAGCACTATATATATATTGATCAGGTGGGCAGAACATCCCATCTAGTTAAAGAACTTATATATCGTTTCTTCATTAACTGTGAAAATTATCAAAAGACTTTAAATAAGTCATTGTCGAAAACGCGATGAAAAAATTCGCACGCATGGCGAAGTTCTGAGTTGTTAAACTTGCGCATTCTCACCTGTTGAAAAAATCAATAACTCGGTCAAGTGCGACCTCCGGTTTTCATGGAAACCCTACTGTGACGTCACGTTAGTGAGACATAGCTGGAGCATCAAGCGACTCCGAAGACTCCAGGTTTTCGGTATCACTTTCATGTTAATCCTTGAGCTTTGATGAAGATTTTGACAATTGTTTAGAGACACTTGCAGTGGCTCCGTATCAGTTTGAACCGTATTTAGACCCTGACACAGAACATCCAACTCAACAAAGTCAGGATGATCATGATGATGGGAATCCCGATAATAGTCGGCTTAACAACACTGATTGGTATCAGTATACTTGATTATACATTTTTATTTGTTGTTTTTAATAACATAATGAACACAAATAATTCTGCAAGAGTTTTAAAATTAAGGATATGTCCTTTACTCTTGATTGTTTAAAAGATTTACTCACCCATCCCCCCTTTCAAACAAATAATACACGTCTTTACATAAAAAGTATACACAATTTTCAGACATATATTGCGTTTATTTAATAATAAAAATACAGGTCCATATATTTAATTTTTCAAAGAAACATGTAAATAAAATATCATAATACACATATTATATGTGTATAATAAAATATATTTATGTCCATTAGAGCATTTGGTAATACTTGTAATTGCTATTTTTAGTATATTCTAATAAGATGTATTTATTCACATAAAATACAGAGCAAATGAGTTTATTTCATTCTGACAATTACTACCAGTATTTAAAAAAAAATCCTTAATTATATGGAACAGTTGAAAATATTTTATTTTTTAAAAATACAATATAGGTGCAGCTGTGGACATTGTATACAGATGCCTTTAGCAAAGGAATGTGTCTGCTGCAAAGAAACAAAGGTCCTCTTAGATCTTATGAAAAATGATGGTGTTCAGTGTATAACAGACCACCCAGGATTTGAACCAGTGTGCTTGAATACATATGTACTGGACACAGCATACAAGCAATATAAGCAACAGTACAATCATCAAATTCAGAATCTTCCAGAGTAAGTCATGATGAAAAAAATATCAAAAAGAGGATCAAATATGATTTCATAAAAGTAGATGAATCAATGAACATTATATATATATAATGTCAATAATATGTGTCCTTTTGCAGGCGATACAGGTACACTGCCTAAAGATAGCTTGTGAGATGGGCCTAGGAAAGCATGTAAGAGTGGTTTTGCCATCATGTGCTCTCAAGAAAATCAGAGGCAGATTCCCATCTCCACACGAGGACTATGTTGGTTTTAAGGAAGCATAGTTGGATTAACATCAACCATCATCACTCATTCCATCATCATTTTGAGCATGCCTATAACGTGATGTCATCTCTAAAATTGCTGATGCTTTTTCAGGTTTTTCAAACGAACTGCATAGAGGAGGTGGTGCTGCAGCTCTGTTCAATTCTACCCGACTTAATTTTGTTTCTTTGGCATTTGTATACACAATGTCCATGAGCTTACTGACATAACCTACAAGATTATAATTTAAGTTAGAATTGATCACTATATAAAATATATTATATATATATTTGGCATTATATATATATGTATACAAATACTCTAGTCATTACATACTTACTATATGTACAAGCAGTTTTCACTTCTCGTATTGTGTATCCACCTTTCTTCAACTTTGGGTACACAATGTTGTACTGTGGTTGTCCATCTTTAGTTACTGCTTGATCCATCTCTCTCATCCCATTTTCATTGTAATGAAGGGCAGCAATTTTTAATCTGAAATTATATAAATAAATACTTTTTTGTTTATCCTTGAGTAATAATCTTTTAGTGATTGAGTTTAAGTGTTTTCACGTTTCTTTTACCTGCTTAACATTCCATGGTAGGAAAACCCAAACATCTTTGGAGCAAAATGGTTGATGACAGAATGAAATCCTTCTAGACTTGCTGTTTGGGCTCCTGGAGAAAGTTTTGGAATGTCTTTCTGCATTTGTTTTGACATCACAAGCTCCTCTAATTTAACACATGCCTTGCTTCCTAAAAATAATTTGCAAATTACCATATTAGTTTATTTATTCTTTTTTATTTTTAATTGAAAGTTTAGGTGCTTTAGTAATACTTGCCTTTTTTCAACCATTTCTTTTCTCTCTCGCGTCCCTCTAGGGGTCCATGGTCACAAGACTGAAAAATATCTCCATCATGTTCATGAATGTTTTGCACATGATTGCAGAGAGATTGCCACTTCTCCAGCATCAATTGCCCGTGACCACTTGGGGTTGATGCTGGGACCCAGTAGAAATGATTACAAAGGCTCTTTATCCAAGGTTCCAGGGACTCGCAATCCTTCAGCTTGGAAATGGCTGTTACTTTCTTCTTAAAACCTACAGGTGTTAAACAATCAATTTCTATATAGTTTTGTTCTTATTTTCTTTTTTATTGTATTCTAATATAAATTTTTCTCTACATATGAACTGCATGGATTATTTTGAACTCATACCTTTAGCAACGTGCCACACGTCATAGTTATGTGTTGTGTGAGGCATGTTTTCTCTGACATGTTTCTGTATCTGAAGATGTCGGTCAGTAATAATTTTCTTTATTTTGAGGCCTTTGCTTTCGATGTTATTAATACTTCGTATAAATCCCTCTTTTTCCATATGATAACTTCCTTGAACTTCATTGCTCTACAAAAAAAAAATTATATTGCTGCAAAGAAAAATTCGCATTTCAAATTGAAACTTAAAATGAATGCAATTTTTTTTTTATTAGAATAAAAAAAAATCCAACCTAAACAAGTTGAATATCTATGACAAGCATTTGATCCATGTCTAGCATAGCATAGCTGCCATATTTAGCCCAATGTCCAGGAGTCAGCTCTACCATCTCCACCTAGAATTAAGGGATCTCCTTGTTGGGTATTTTGATGAAAATAATTATTCTGAAAATTCTTCCATATTGTCGAAACAGCTGGATGTAGATAGTATTTCTGGTGTTGGTGGAAGGTACTTAATGCTATGGCAGCTACATTCATATGCTCCAAGAAACGAAGTTCTTTGATTGGTATAAGGCCTACCATAAGAGATATGAAAATACTTTCATTGTTAAAACATCTTTAGCATTGATAATTATAAAAATTGTTGGGGCTAATTAAAAAGTACCTGAAAACAATATGGCTGCTGACATGGAAAAATTTCCTGATGGTAAAGATCCAATAATTTTTTTTACTGTTCCAAGTTCTTTGAAATCCACATATACCACAGCACTGGTCAATCTTGATCATTGTGCCTGAAAATGGTCTTACTTGGCTAAGTGTGGCAGAAGTACAAGTTGGACAGATTGAAAACAACTGCATCATCTGCAACTCAGACACAATGTATTTTTTCTGTCAGTTTTGTGATATGGATTATCATCACAACAAATAAAAGTTTGTTTTTTTTATTAAGTCATGTATATTTGTTTTTCCTAAACTGTACCTTATTTGGGAAAATAAATCTGATAAGTATTTTAACTCACAGGTCAGACTCATCATCTGAAGAAATTTCAGAGGAAAGAAATTCTTCAGCAGACTCTGGAAAGTAGTCTGTGTCATTGTTTTTGTCTTCGTTTTCATCCTCACTGGATGGATCAGAAAGATCATCTTGCTCTTCCGTGCTCATACTTATCACTCTGCGTGGTTTAAAATTATCTAAAAATAATATAGTACTTGATGAATTTTTACTTTATTAGTTAGTGATTATTCATATGTAATTTAATAATGAAAAACTTAATTATATTTCAAAAATCTTTATTCACATGTCAATTCCTCAAGATATCTAATACACTGAACTGCAATGATGCAAACCTTTGGTTTATAGCTTGGAAAGTCACACTGCACAGCTGTGTAAGGAATACGAGAAAAAACTTGTAATTGCAGTCTTATTGGGTATCTATGCACAACAAACCATGAATGTACTCACCCTTCTCACATTGTTTAATTTTTGTTTGTATTTTCTTGGACCTTTGATGGGGTTTCCGCCTAGTGCACTGTACTCCTACAGAGCATGCTGCCTGTCAAGACATTAGTTATTTTTATTTTTAAAAAAAGATAAAAGATTTAATTTTTCATTAATTTTTGTTTATAAAAAAATGATAAAAACCTTGTTTGATTTATCCTTCACGTTATATATTTTCTCATGTCTCTTTCTGTTTTTCATGGTTGTCCAGTATTTATAATAAAAACAGCAATTTATAATAATATATGCCAAGTCCTTTGTCTTTTGTTTGCATACATCGCTAAATTATTAATTCTTAGATGAACATATTTTATTATCCAGAATGAAATTAAAATGTTATCCTATGAAATACCCGTAAATATTCCCTTTTCCTAAATGCTCCTCTGAATGGTGTTGATTCAGCCGCCGGTTCACCTTTGTTGGGCACGTGTGTGACATCCATTTTGCTATCGTGAATTGGGGCATCTGAGTTCGTCGGTGTACTACTACTATGTAAATGAATGGTAGGCACGGCATCAGGAAGCAGACGTTTCTTCTTAATCACAATACCTAGGGACTGTTTAATTCTGTATTCCTCTGGGTAACAATTTGGTGCAAAATGACGTTCACATAGAACTGAAAACCTCGTGGGCTGTGTGAAGTCTTGACGCTTTGTTTTAACAAAATTTATCCATTTTCGTCTTAGTTCACGTTTTACTTCCTTCGGGAATTCGTGGAGTGAAATATCATCAGCATTGGTTGCTGTACAGCCGGCTGCCACACAATACTTGCCAGTTCTTTTCTTTTCTTTCGGCATGGCTAAGCTCTTTGTTTACCTTGGAGTCACTAATGTGACGTCACATCCGGAAAATCGTATTTTTAGGCTTCGCGTTCAGGTGTGTAAAAATAGATTTTCCACGAGAACTTGCTTATGCTTTGGATTTTCGGCTTGAGTGAGATATCAAATTAATCAGCAAACCATTGGTTATTTGATAATGCTAATTTTCATACAGGATAGATAAGTTCTTTAAATTCAGTATAAAAATAAAAATTAAAAGCCTAAAAATTAGAAATAAACACGTCAGTCCAAATGAATTCAATGAAAGGTTACATTCGTGAAAAAGATCAATGTAGTAACCATAGTATGTAAGTAATGCTAATTTAAACAAGGTTGGTGAAATCGGAGCATAACCTTTAGAATGAGATTATTTTTATTCTAAAACAGATCAATCTTATTCGATATAATGTGATTCTTATTCGATTATTTGCTATTTGTATTCAATAAATTGCTGTTCACATTGGAGGAAATATTACAATACGATTCCTATGTCATAATATATCATTCTTTTTGAAAACACGCGATTCGTATTCGATGTCATTCCTATTTTAAAACATGCAATTCTTCTTCGCTGATTTTATTATTCCTATTCGAAAATTTTATGCTATTTGTATTCTAATATGTTGACGGTGCGACCGTTAGAGCGAGCGCAAACTCCTCTGTTGTTTTGATTTAGATCGGGCTCGTCAAACAGCACGTGACATTTGGTGCGTCCAGACTCTGACGTCACATGACGTCGTATGTAAGTTGCAAATACCAAGAAAAAGCCTGAACAGTGCTGAAAGTTAATGAAGAACGTTTCGTTTTCTATTTATTTTAAATATATAACCATTGAGTAAAGGCGAGTAAACTTTTTGTTGAACATTTTCTGTTATTCTCGCGAGAACGTAGCTAAAACAAGTGATGCATTGTGGGTCGAAATTACGGCATCAAAAAATTCTATCGAATGAATGTGCAGTAGTCCGAATTTTCTCTTCGTACAGGCGTTGCTTTAAGAGCTCGCAGTGAAGAGCGTCGCTTCGCGACACTCGCTATATTTTTTTTGGTTAATATGCAATTTTGTTGTTCAAAATTTTTCTACGCAGCACAGTTAAGGTTACAAAAAGGAGGCGGAGCCTAATTTGTACGGGAAAATTGACTATGACATCATACACAATATACGTCATACAACATTTCTTAAAAATACCACAAAATGAATTTACCTGCTAATTTCACAAGTAAGAAATCATCAAACGACATAAAAACTAACTACAGCGTGTTGTTTTGTCGTTAGTTAAATCCCACATAACAAGTTATAAACAAGTCACTGATCGCAATACACTTGTCAATATGACGTCATTTCTTACAACGTGACGTAGTTTGTATGCAGTGAGAGACAGATTCAGCAATATTTTCTCAACAAAATATGTATTCTCTAATTAAATAAAACACTATTTACAGATATTATATCGGACAATAACTTGAATTTAATGTCTTCTTTACTATTTTATTAATATATTTTCTGTGCATTACGTATTTAATTGACACTGCCATATAATTGTATGCAAGTACCTCGGAGGGTAATATGGGAGGTCTTAATAAATCGATCTAGTGCAAGGGCATACACTCTATGGATCAAAGTAAGCTTTTACATTTCAACTACAGAACTATTAAGGTATCTGGAAACTGCTCCGATCCTGATGAAATCTTAAAAATAATTTTATATTATCAATATTTCATGCCGCTGACCAGCAAAAAATATAACGTTCGGTCATACAAGTATAATTTTAACAATGAAATTGCAGAATTTAGACAGGATCGCAGCACTTTTTAGAAACTACAATGCGTGTTGAAAATATTTATGTACTAAATTTGGAAATTTAATTTAGTTATGCCCTTGCACTAGTGACATTTATATGTAACATCAGTACTTCAAGTCAATGTGCTCAAATCGCGTGACTGCTGCATCACGTGACTAGTCTAAATATAAAATATAATCGTCTTCGATATGAAGCTATTAATCATAATTACAATTATCCGATATAAATAATGTACTAAAAATAATCGCCATCCCGATTACGAATACATTTTTAAATACAAAATTTAGTCGATATTTCCATTGCGCACCTTAACTGTATTGCGTAGCATCCATTTCTATTCGAAAAAAATACGATTTCTATTCGATAACATTTTTATCTTATTGCATAATTTTATCTCTCCTATGCGATGTTTTTTTAATTCTTTTTTTTAAATGGCATTCTCGGAAATATGAAAAACTAGAACTGATTGTAAAGTCAATTAAATTAAATAGGAAAGACATCTAAAACATGAACATAAAATCATTTCATTATCGAATAGAAATTACAAAATTATCGAAAAGAAATCATATATGTTCAAATATAATAACATCTTAAACGTGATGGGTTCTTGAAAAGAAATTAAAAAACATATCTCGAACAAAAAAAAAATAATCGAAAAGGAATCATTTTTAATCGAAAAGGAATGGAATGACATGATTTAGAAAAAGAAAAGCAATTTTTTTTAATGAGAAAAGCAAGAAAGAATTATAATGCAACGTTTTACCCACCTTACGATAAACAGGTGATAGCGGAATATTACTTTACAAATACGGAAAGTTCACTTTAGAAAGGATGAAGAAATAATCATTACTTTTTACACAGTATAGTTTCAATAGGCCTTCATTTTCTATAGTCAGTAAAACATCCAAACATGAAGCTGTTGTTGTACATTCAGTGATTACTTTAATTTAAAGTTCACTTGTAAATATCGGTGTATCTAAATGTTGAATTGAAACCCACAGCAAGTGTTTTCTCCTTGTCATTTAAAGATATTCTGATTCTGCTTCATAGAAATATTAAACCAGGTCAGCCAATAAAAGAGCACAATTAGTGCACATCAATAGTCCATGTTTTGAAGGAAGAATTGGTCTCCGGAGACTGCAAAAAGGGTGTCGACAAGGAACTCCAGCTTCCTTTTAATATCAACTTCAGGATATTTTTAGTTAGAATCAGGGTGATTTTTAACAAAGTGATTTTCGATGATGACTTTTCAAAAAATACGAAAATTTCCAAGTTCCATTTTTATTGAATAAGCGTTTGACTATGATGTAAAAATGTATAGTTTTGAATTGAATTTTGAAATTACAAAAGTTGTAAATTTTGATGCTACCGAATTTTGAAAAAAAAAAAAACCAAATGTGATTTCAAATTTTCTATAAAGTGTGGTTGGGTGGGTGGGTAGGGGGCTAAGCATCCCTAGCCCCTCCCCCTGCCAAACCTTCCCGACGACTTTGGATTAAATTGCAATTGTGAAATCCAAGTCATAAATATATATTTTATGTTCTTGAACTTAGAACCGGTTTCATGATCAAAATTCCACGACCTGGCTCAGTTTTCAATGGACTATGGTCCAAATTCAACACCTTTTATCTCAGTATTCAACGTTGAAAAATCACCCCCGGGTCAATTTTTAACCCGGGTCAATTATCAACGTTACAGCGGTACATCATAGCAGGAGCATTGTGCATTCTTTTGGATAACAGGTGCCAGAAGATTAGATCTTCCATCTTACACCAGTGGGTTACCTGCGGGAAACTAAGAGTACAGTTACAGACAAAAATCATGGCCAATCTACCTGCTTGTCGCCTACAACCAGTTCCATCATTTATCTACGTTGGAGTCGACATGTTTGGACATTGGAATGTTGTCAGTAGAAAAACACGTGTTGGAAGTGCAAAGAAGAAAAGGTGGTCAATCATGTTCACATGTCTCACAGTCCGGACAGTACACATCGAATTTGGGGAACAGATATCATAAATCCTTCATAAATGCGTTGCGCAGATTCGTTTCCATTGGAGGCAAAGTACTGGAGTATAGATCAGACAGAGGAACCAAATTTGTGGGTTTTACATCTACATACACAGATGCAGTAAAAGTTGAGGATTCAACCATTAAGAAGTTTCTTTCTGAGTGAAGGAAGCACGTGCATTTTTAATCAACCACATTCGTCTCATTTCTGAGGTGTTTGGGAACAAATGATACGTGTGGCCAGAAAGATCATAGATGCCTTTCTACTGGAGAATTCTGCAAAGAAGTTAACCCATGAAGTTCTGGTCAACTCTGTGGCAGAAGATTTCAGGATCATCGATTCTCGCCTAATAGAAATGTATCGTCAGTCCCAGAGAATACAATTATTCTTTCGCCGAATGTATTGCTCACGCAAAGAGGATGAATTACCAATTCTTCTAGACTTTGACTTGAATTTTTCGAGACATGTACAAATCCAATTGGAAACACGTGCAGGTTTAGCGGACAGATTTTGGAAAAGATGGAAAGATGAATACTTACAGAATCTGCAATCCAGAAGAAAGTGGAAGACTGAGAAAGAGAATCTACGAGAAGGAGATGTTGTCATGTTAAGAGACAAAGATATGAACAGATGTGATTGGCCATTAGGGTTGGTGGAAGAAGCAATCAAAAGCGAAGATGGAAACGTTCGAAAGGTGAAAGTTAGAGTCATCCGGCAGGGGCTTCACTCGAGTATTTTCTACAAGTCACAGAAGTGGTCCTTCTCTACGCTCTAACTAATGAATAGTGACTAAACTTGTCAGGCGGGGAGTGTGCCAAGACTGGCCTAGATATATAGGTCTGGGATTCAGCATGACCGGTGCTGGTGCAAATACGGGTTGTGATAACATTGTTTTTGATATGTTTTGATGCATTTGAGGTGCAACAGCGATGTGAGTGTTTATGTGTACATATGTCCTATGTTTTAAACAACTTTTTTTTTTATATTTTGCACTGATATTTTCCATGTGCTTAAAAGTCTGTTGTCAGTATTGACAGAGGAAATTCAGACTGATTATTTTGTTCACAGTGTTTGCATCTATTGTCAAATTATTCTAGATAATTTAGGCCTGTATTTCGTAATATAGTCGAAACTGTTGAGGTTATTTTTGTAAAATTATGAGTGAATATCATTCGTAGAGAAAGCTAGAAATTTATTTTCCATTTTAATTTTATCGTCATTTACCTATTGATAAACCATTTCCAGAATAAAGTTTTGAAAACACCACATAGTTTCGAGGTCATTAGTAAAACCCCAGTACACCAGTCTGTGACTAAAACTGCACATTAACCAATAAAAAAAATACTGACTGCTTTATGGTG